GTGGAAGAGAGATCACTCTCATGGTAAGTAGGCATGGAGTTTCAGATTGTTTGAAATTAATCTAAAAAAGATAAACATTTCCCTGGGATATTGTTTTTCCTAGATGGAAGGGCATTTAGAGCCATGCTGGATGAACTGTGCTCCCTCATCAAGCAGGGAAAGCTGACAGCTCCCGCCTGCACTGAGGTGGGTCTGCAGCAGTATCACGCAGCTCTGGATACTGCTATGCAGCCTTTCATATCAACTAAACAGGTTTTGGTCATGTGAACTAGCTGAATGTGTCAACTAACCACCGGATGCTTGAGAACACTGCATGCATATTTGGGTGAAACCAGAGAGCTGTGACATTCTTGCTGATATGTCAAACAAATCCACATTCTCAATAAAAGTGTATTCACATGAGGCTCAAAGTCCAGCGTCTGTCATGTTCTGTAGTGACACTTTACAGCGTTTACAGGCAGCTATCAAAAGATTATTAAGTCATTATAACAAGATATGAAATGCCAGGCGTTATCACAGAACACAGATAATACAACTTTATCTTATAATATTTCCAAAACTGATTGCTTTGCTTTGAAGTTGCATGGACAATAGAAGTGATGTTATGACATTTATTATATATAAAATCCTGATATAATCGATTTTTTTAGCTAATGTGCATGAAATTCATAAGATTGAGTTTTGGATTGACAACAAGATACAGTAGAGTTTACACAAATAAAACTACGGTAGCTGACCTTTAGAGGCACAAGAATACTGTGTAGTTTTGAAACAAAGTATTCAGCCAGTACCCATAAATCAAGGTCAAGGGGCACACCAAAGATTACTGAAGACAAAGGTTGCATTTTTCCATAGTTTAATTACACACTGGAGCATGACTCATTTCATTTATAGATGTAATATAACTGAAAGTATGAAAATGCATTATTATAGCGCTACATGTTAAATAGTGACATTTAAAACAAATACTTCCTGCTTCTTGATGTCTCTCTTGAATTATAATTTAAAGAATGAAATTCATTACAAATGTTGACACCAGAAAGCTATTCTCAGATTCCTCTGCTAAAAGTGTGCAGTTTTTAAGGTGGAACGTCATACGGCCAGTCAGAAAGTCAGAGGGGGAGTTTGCATTGCTAAATGGGTCAGTGATACACGTGTGGACATGATTTTTATACTTTTGAAACAAAAGATTATTGCATATTTATAAATTCTGAGGGACAAAGCTTATATGTTGGTTTAGGGAAACAATAAACCCATACTGAGTTCAGAGTTAGTTATAGTTCAAAATAGTATTGAATTAATTACTCACGGGCCACCACCAGACTTAAAGCCACGGAGATGAGTGGCAGGAGGCCACCATAGATGAAAACTGCCCCCTCCTTAACGAGGCAGTGTTCATACCTGTCAAAGTCTACCTCTCGTGCTGCGCACACATGGTCAACACGACAGTCGCTGTCACAATCCCTCAGGTCATAGTTCACAGAGTTGAAATCATAGTACTTCTGCAGGTAGCGGGGGTCATCAGCTACACGCTTTAGAACCTCGTGCATGGAGGCTGGAGAGGCATCTGGTACTCTGAAACTCTCTGTGAGGCGATACTCTTTCTCCCAGCGTCCTGTGGCTACATTAGCATGAGTAAGGTTCAGGTAATAGGTCACCACATCCTGCATGAAAGAAAGCATGTGGTTTAAACACAGAAAGCGAACAATAGAAGCATTACAAGATATTTCTGAAGGTTTTACAATCTTTTAAAATACAAATATATATTTATATAAGTTGCATAAGAGCCTATTTTTAGGCTCTTGATTGCTACTTTTGACTGCCCCGTTGCCACAAGGAGCGTTTCACATGTTTGATTTGGCAGCGTTTTACACCGGATGGTCTTTCTGGAGCTACAATACAAGGGGATTTTTGTATCTGGCTGATAATGAACTAGCAACTGTTCACTTGCCAAGCAAATGTGTTAACCACTACACCCCTAGAGGAACATAAATGTCTAATGAAAATTGTAAAGGCCAAAACTTGCCTTGACTAGCAGTGTTTCTGTGTCATATTCAAAGACACGAATCCCAGGATTGTTCGCTCCATCCTTAACTCCAGGAAGTGTTGTTTCCCACGGTGTGACACCAGGGCTGAGGAACATGGTACTAATGGGAGAACCTGTAGAAATGGACAAGATATCAGCTCTGATAACAACAGTATTAGTGTGTGTTAATGTTAATGCTGGATATCGGAGACGCATTCCGGCTAAGTGATAAACAGGTAATACTAATACAAGGTGAAATGAGTACTATTACTGCAGTGTGGCTTACCCTCTGTGTTGTAGAACATACGGAAGCTATCAGTGTGATGATGGCCAAAGAACTGGCCTTTAATGACAGAATGATGCTTCTCAATTAAATCCAAATATCGCCGGTTGAACTTTGGTGTAAACCATGGTTTACTTCTTTTCTTCTCGAAGAAACCTGGAGGAACGTGGCCAATGATGTAAACCTGATAAACCAAACAATACAGAGTTAACTAAAATTCAATCAGGACCAAATCTCTTTTTTGGAGGGGCAATTGCTTATACAGGGATTGTATTCATTACAAACTCCATCTTTTACTGAGCTCTAGTCCCTAACATCCAAACATCCATGAACAAGATGAGATGCTTTGCCTTCTCTTTGTTGTTGGTTGCCTCTGTAAGAATCTGATCTGACCAACTAAACTGGTCCGCTGGGTCATCCATGTTCGTGGTCAGCTTGTTCTGATCATAGTAGAGATTGGTGTTAAGGACCAGCATCCTGAAACCAGTCTGATTCATGAGCTTTTCTGTGTAGTATCCACCTGTGCAAGAGGAACATCCCAGATAATGTGTGTTTAAATTTTTCCTATGCATCATAAGCTGATGTATTCATTCTTCGGAAAGTAATTGCACATATATTTGTAACTATTAGAGAAAGCCTTCTTCACCTTTTTTAAATGTTTCTTTTGACTTTGGATCCAACCAGCCTTGCCACATTTCTGCTATTTGGTCATACATAGAGCTTGGGGCTGCAGGAAGCTGACTCTTCGGGTGGTAATCATGGTTCCCCAGGGCTGAGTACACTTTAGTGTCTAAACAAAACAATAATGTATAAAAGACATTATTTATTAGAAGTAGCCAACACTAAAACACTGTCGTATGTGTTGACCTTGCATGTTTCCGCCTGATTTTGTAATTACTTGGAAACACTCGATTTATGATGTCAGTGAGGTTGTTGATAATGTTGAGCACTGCATCTTCTCCCAGATCTTTATTATCAACATGTGGAGTGTCATCACTGAGAAGTAACACAGCAGATTGTTTCAGGATTAATTGCAGTCAAACATGTCAATACCAAATACTAATCTGAAAATATCATGACTGTAAAGGCAAACAAGCATTTATTTCCCCAGATATAGTCTTGAGACTAGCACTGTCCTGCAATATTCATTTAAAAAAAAAGTTACATACCCAGTCCATACGATAAAGTCCGGGTTTGGTAGAATACGCTTCATTGCATAAACAGAAGAGTTGATCAGGTGCCATGGCGAGTCACAAACATAGTGTCCAAATTTACCAGCATTGGCTGCAGGTCGTTTGCCACTGGATGCGCACACCAGTGCAGGATTGTTGTTGCTCAGTTCGTACGTTGGGTCCCAGTGGAGATCCGTGATGTGCCAAAAGTTCCCTGTGTAAGAACGATGCGTAATGGCATCTAGTAAGTTACCCCGAGATTAAGATATATACTTGATTTATCTGATGCTTACCCGAGAGCGCAAAAGCCTCTTTAAAAAGAAAGCAAGACAGAAGCAGCCTTACTGCCGACATGTCGAAGCCTTTGAGAGGAAGAAACATCCGACAAAAATCAAGGCCTGGTTTAAAAGGTATGCCGTAAGTCTATAAAGGCGAAATCATGATAAGATATGACTGGTCATGACACGTCTGAGGCTTGAAGGATTGTTTGTATTGTTTGGATCCCTATGTGCAGGGGATACTTCGCTATCAGTAATGAAGTTCAACCGTCACCCTGTGATGCAAGACTACGTTTTAGCCTGCATACAATTAAATAAAGTTAAATAAATAAAAATAAGTATCAGAATAAATCTCAAGACAATAAAAAGCTTCGGCTGAGAAAAGCTCTATACACACTAATCTGTGAAGCTATTCCTGCTTGTAGACTACGCCTAGACTATTTTTATGTGGACTAAATTTAAATTTAGTAGACCACCTTTTACAGTTACCTTATTTGGGCATGCGCTGTTTAAGAATCAAATAAATATACATACATTCATAGCAGGAGTATATAGACACAGTATATTAAAACACATCTACGTGCGAATGTTTTCGCTGTTACACTGTAATATTTCAGTAAATACAAAAGGATTTTATTCATGGTGCCCTCGCGTGATACTCGTGTTTCCCCAAATCGACGCTGTTATAACTGTGGAGAATCTGTTTCTCAAGCTGATGATGCAAATAAAAAATGTTTTTGCTTTGTTTTGGTTTTGTTATTATTTGTTTCGCTTATTTCTTTTTACAGTAAAGGGGCATTTTGGGGAAAAGAGTAGTGAATCATCGTTGGAAATTTTGCAATATCTGTCTGTTTTTGATAAACACAGCTATGGGTTTGCAAATGTTCTTTGGAAATGATTTATTATAGCAATTGCAAAGCCGCAAAACCGCGCGTGAGCACGTAGTGCTTCGGGAAGTTCATGAAAGCAACCCTAGGACTCTTTCAAAATCATTCCCTGATGTTTCTCTGTCAGGCAGACGTAACTCCCAGGCCATGGACAGCTTCATTAAGTAATATAGCAAATAATAATAATAGTAATAATAATAATGTTAGTACATGTTAAACAGTGGTTTGGGACCAGAGTTTGTGCCTTTGCATTGGTCAGTCTTGGCGCTGGAAGGGGAACGATAGCCTGACAAGCAAAAATTAGGGCTGAATTACCTGCTGTAGAAGATCTGCGTCATCATAGATTTCGCGGGAGTTCCGCTGTGCGCCTGCGCTGTACATTGAAGGTTGCGCGCGGGATTAAACGAGGAAAAGGACCAGAGAAATACGTTTGGCTACATACATTACTGCACGTAACATTTTACGCCTTACTTTAATAAGTTAAGCAAACAGCGGAAGCATGTGGAATCAGGGTGAGTTGTATTTCGACACCGTTGTGTTTATAAAGCAGCCATATGGACTCGGTGTCGCTGTGTTGTTTCGGTCCACGTTAGCTTGACTACAGACGTCTTTGTTATTGTGTGTTGAATGTGAGTGAAGGTGGGTCAAATGAAGATCATGTTTAATAAACGATTTCGGTGACACAGTTGTTTACCTCTTTATACATTTTCAGGAGGGTACAGTGAGTCCAGTATGGCTGGGGGCTACACTCAGTCTCCAGGAGGATTTGCATCACCTGCCTTATCCCAGGGGGGAGAGAAAAAGGGGGTCTGTACTTATATCTACACTTAAAAGTCGGAATAATTCACTAAAGACTTGACACAGACATAAATCTGTAAAAATTGTGCTGAAAACCAGCAACACCATACTTTTATTGCTTTTATTATCTTACTTTTTTTTCATTGATTATACTTAGTTGTATTTCCTTCTGATATCTGTAGCTGAGCTGAGGGGACGCAAAAATTTCCCCGTTGTGGGATCAATAAAGTCTTATCTTATACCTTCATTTGCCAAATGAGATATCCCCTCTTTGTACACATGTTGACTTCTGTATAGTGATGGAAGCACAAATTGACAGGTCAACCCATTTGTGTTTGGGTCTTTGCAGAGAACACGTGCCAACCAAATAATCCCCTGCACAGTGTCTCAGCTAATGTCTGCTTCCCAAGCCGATGAGTCATTCAGAGTAGGAGATGTGGATGTTGCCCAGGTGAGCCAAACCATTCAGTTAGTTCACTAACCAGTTACTTTTTCATCTCTTAATAGCATTAGTTTGGTACTCTGTAATACAGGGTTTTTTTTTTTACTTCTGCAGTTGAACAACAGCAACTTTACACTCCCTTTTAAATACAAGTTACTTTTGTTTACAGAAATTATGTTGAATATCCATCTATGTTGATTGTACTTTTTTAAAAATCCTTTTAAATAAATAAACATCTATCTAACAGTCAGACCAAATGCAGAATTTTAAATCATTTTATGTTACAACGTTTTGCAACATGGACGTAATAACTATTCTAATATTTCCAGATTTCATAATAATTGTGTTCTGTGTCATAGGTCACCATTGTGGGGGTCATCAGAAGCACAGATAAATCCATGACCAACATCCAGTACAAGGTTGATGACATGACAGGCGCTCCCATGGATGTGAAGCAATGGGTAGACACAGAGGTAAGTATCCACCATCACAACTCTGCTGCAAGCTCAGTCTGTATTGAAACATGAGGTAATTACGTGTATATAAACTCCATTACATAGTGAGAAAGCTACTATACTATAATATCTGTTTAGCATTACATTTCTTTAAGTAGAAGGCCAAGAGGAAAGGGCAGTAGTAACATAAATCCTAAGGAAAATTAACTGGAATTGGATGAAAAGGATCAAGTATGTGCTTTTTATTTATACAGGACCAAAGTGTGGACAGCACTGTCCTTCCCCCAGGAACATATGTCAAAGTATCTGGAAATCTGCGCTCTTTTCAGGTGAGTTTAATATCTGCCACCTATGACCGCTTATTAGTTTAAAAGTGTGGTTGCTATCAAACCCCATCCACCGTCTACTACAGGGGTGTCCAACTCCAGGCCCCAGGATATGTCCTCCAGAGAGGACACATCCTGCAGGTTTTAGATGTGTCCTTGATCCAACACAGCTGATTTAAATGATTAAATTGCCTCCTCAACATGTCTTGAAGTTCTCCAGAGGCCTGGTAATGAACTAATCATTTGATTCAGGTGTGTTGACCCAGGGTCATATCTAAAACCTGCAGGACACCGGCACTTGAGGCCCTGCTCTACTAGCTTACTTGGTGGTTGGGTTGGTGTTGTGGCGTTCTTCAAAGTCAATCAGCTGCTTCCTGCAGCCAGACTGATTCCTGCCCCATTGTTAACTGCAGCTGGTGGAGTAATGGCTCATGTGCTGCTCCAGTGAGACCTAAAGAGCAGAATGAGACCTAACAGCCAGCTGGAGTTCCAACAACTGGATGAAACTCGCCAGCAGCTGATATTGCTGAGTTAGTTATTTATCAGTGAGGTTTATTGTAAAATTAAATTGGAAAAAAAAAAAGAATATATTTGCGTGCGGATAACCACGCGCGCACACACACACACAAACAGACTGTGAATCAATTGGAAATGGTTCATTTAAAGTAAATGCTAACAACATTTGCACAGTACCCAGAATCAAATAGGAACTTATGACTTGCATCATGATTTCATTGAAAGGCAACATGACAGTGTAAAATTTCCAAGCGGCTGTATGATTTCACAATGCACAAACATTTTTGACAATGTCATATTTAATCTTGTTCACATTTAAGCATTTATTAACCTTTGT